GCCTCCATTGACCTCTGCTGTCATGATTTTCATTAGACTAATGGTAAAAAAAAGTCGCTGTGCTTGCAAGGACAAACCCATTTCAACTAATTACATAGAGCGACAATAAGTGACAAGAGAGTATTACCCTCCTTTCTATATACATCCCCAGGTCGCAGAATGAGTTAATTCCACTGGAGGAAAACCGCGCCAACGGCAAGTCGGATATAGACTATGAAAACGACGCGCTTTTAGTAAAGGCGATCAGATGCACCCGAAGCGTTTTGTTTTAGAAAAAGTCACAATAACTTCTTCCCCATGCTGAATGAAATAAAGACTGAGTAAACGAATTACGTGACCAGGATCATAAAGTTGCGACTGGGTATGTGAAGGGTATGGCTCTTAGGCCAATAGCCCTGGTCGTGGTCAACAATAATTGACACGCGTTTGCGATCATGGAACTTCACATCAAAGATGGTAGGTCAAAGAGGCTTATGGGAGACAAATGACGCAAGTCCAAACAATCTGGTTAGGTAAAACCACCACGGTAGGCCTATCTGGCAAAGATGATAATACTTGTGCGCGTGGCAACAGAATTACACCCTTGCTATCGATGAAATTTGCAAGCTTTTCTGTTAAGGCGACCTACGTGTCCGTACGAAACAAACAAGCCCCATACAAATCTTTCCTCCAAAATGAAAAAAATCTGAATCGTTAGAGTAAGATCGCCAGTCGTGTGTGAATTACTAAATCTTGAAAGCATTCCTGCATAGGCTGGGCGTTATTATATTTCCATAATGGCTCAAAATGGACGTCACGGCTGGGGGAAAAAAGTTGCCTCTCTCGGCGAGTCGGAGGAGATGGTTTGCCCTTCTTCGGAAATTCAATTACTAGATCCAATCTACTGTCGACGTCAAACTGTGGCGAAAAAGGGCAAGGAGATGCTGTGCTTTTCCTTGCCAGATTAGGAACTAAAGACGGTTTGAAGGAACCGCTTGCTGAAGGTGAAGGTAGTGCTGGTGTTTTCCATTTGCGAAGTGGCTCGACGGGTGCCCATGCCATGCGTCCTGACATGTATTCTTCAACCGTGCCAGTTGATTACATGCATCATTAGTGCATGTTTAATGAGTTTCTTGTTTAGTTCCGCAAAATTGTTTGGAATTTTTATCTCAGACTGGAGTCCAGGCGTCGGTTCATAATTACAAAGTTATACAAAGGTTTTGAATATGTCTGATGCCATGAAATAAATACTGAAAATTTGGTATGCGGTGTAATTCTAGATCTGTGAAATACCAAGATGTCAATGATGCTGCACCCTTTTCCAGAGCTGCTTATGGAGAGAGTTGCGACATGAGTGTCTCAGAATTATTGTTGGAACCAAAATGGCGAATAGTGCGTCAGTGCACATGGAAAATTTACTGCATGCCGTATTGCACACATAACGAACAGCCATATTGGTTCCAGGTCTAGGGCTGGCGATACTCTCTACATACAGCGCTGCCGTTTTTTCTGGGTTGACAACACACGGCAGAACCACACCAACTTCAGCATGGTGCCCCATACTTTCCACTCTATGGGCTAAACTCCAACTTGAAATTGGAAGGGCTCCGGTTTTTTTTTTATTGGCAGGTTCCCGGCACGTAGTACACGTGTAACTCATATCACTGGTAATCCAGTCCTATTTGTCACACCCAGACATGCTTCACCATCGATCGTCTGTCCACGTCATCAAAGAATGCATCATGCGTACCAGCGACCCAGTGCTCTACCACTGCATGCATTCAAACCACGTCCGCTGGTGTGGCAAGTAGCAGGCCTAACCATAATGACAGATGGGGGAGAGACTCCGGCTACCCAACACTGCTCGTGTTATGTGTGTCAATATTTGAAGGTGAATCTCTAATGTTTGAATGTGCTCATAAAAGTAGATCTGACTTGGATACCAAACACCGGCGTTTGAGTTTCCTCTATTTGTCCCACTAATGGTATCAGGGTGATGGATCACATTTAAACTTTTAAGGCCACTGGTCGACATTTGAAAACAGGACCTTGCCTTCGCGAAGTTGAACCAAAATGCGCTTAGACCACGCGGGAGCACAGAACCTTTGTTATGCACTGGACGGAAAATATTCGCACGCATTAAGTAACCGGAGGCTCAGTTACAGCATAGAGCAAGGACAGCATCAAACTTCATGTACACCACTGGCAACATGTAGTCTTGACTTACAACGCTAATTCACATGAATACTTGACAAGGCAGCACATGACCTGGGTCAGTCATCAAACAAAATGACGGTCGATATAATAGTGCTGTTGACCAAAGACACCGTCTTTTCCCTCGTGTGCCATTTGCCACCCTAGTAAGGCTGGTATTGAATACAAAGCCCAAACAAACAAAAACAAGCCATGTCTCTCGTTAAAGTCATTTTCCTCGTCTTCTGGGTTAAGTAACCCTAAAAACGAGAGCAGTTCATCTCAACTCCGTCCCGTGTTCACACAAAACAAGAGGACGGTGCGAGCACACTTGCTCTTGAAAGGAAAACATGAATTGCCCTGAAGCGGTTGAAAATTGAAACGATCCTGTGTTATTTCAAGGTATATCTCAAGTTGCAACGAGCACGCTGCGTCCGACTTCAGTATACAATGAAACTGTAATTCGAACCCAACGATTGCCTTTCGCAGAGCTCCGTGATTCAGGCTTGGAACCTCTGAGTCTTTCTGGTGTCGTCTGTGAACGCAAACTGATGGAGTAAAACACGACGTTTTTTCGGGAAAATAATTCGTACGTTCCTTTAATATACGAAGACGTTGCAGGAAGGTTCTAGGAAGGTTGGTGAACCTAAGTTGCCTGGGGAACGGCTTATTTAAAATGTTGACATAAAGAAATTTTATACAGTCTTGAAAAAAGCCTTCAAAGTATGAAAAAGAAAACAATCTTGTGGCGAATCAAAACCAACTACAAATTTGGAAATTTGGAGAGAGGAAAAAATTCCTTCGATTGTCAACCAGAATTGAGAGTTAATATAAAAACAATGGACCTTATTATATGCCGGTTCACACAACGAGCAAATGTGAAAGCGAAGCGTACTTGACGTCACGAAAGAGTTGGTGAAAAATTTTGCTCGACTTGGAAGGTGTTCAACTTTTACGAATTCGCAGAGCAAAGCTTTGAGCTGACGTCACTTAATTGACATTTGTGATCGCTTTCGCACGAAGTATGAACCAGTCTTAACAGACTCAGAGACACCATTTTCATCGCGTTCTTCGAGCCTTATTCAGTTTAATCTGTCAAATGGGGTCGTGCCTGACTATTTTGGGTTTGATGCCTCACATTCATTCTTTTGAAACCTTGCTTAAAATATTTAGATAATTATAAAAGTACAAATTGTAAATGATTCAATGTGTAATGAACATTTATTTGATTACTTTCGTGTTTGTAAAAAAAGCAAACCTCGCTTCCAATTCAATATGGCCGACTTCAATTGAAACTGCGGATAAAACACGAGGACTGAAAGGTACCCCGAAGCGCACTTGGAAAGGTATTGTGCTGTTATATATTGTACGAGAACTAAAATTATCGAATTGATTTCGATCTTGCTCAATAACATAATGTTCAACAATGCTTTGGGCAGAGGCCAATTTAGTAAAGCCACATCAAACAAATTTTTCATATACAACTCATTTCATGGACCACTTCCGATGGACAAGGTAACCACCCAAACAAACTAGCTGTGAAACAAAACGCAACTGTGGGTGGATGGGACTCGCGAGTTGAAATACCCCTTGAAGTTAAACAGAATCAATAGTATCTGCACGTTTTTTCAGTTCTTCACATTGTTTCTGAGTTTGATCACAATATTCTCACAATAACGGCTGGAAGCAAAGGACTCCTCAAACTGGTCTGACAAGGTAGAGGTAGCACTCGCAAAGTTTGAAGTAATTCGTGACAATTTTATTCTATATGTATTTTTCGTTTTGCCCCACTGTTTGTTGAGGGGATTTATTACTTTTGCGACCACTGTTTGTCACGTTTGACTCCCTGTTTATCATCCGTTGTTACTGATCACAACTCATCGCCGCTGCAACGTGCCGTCGTGCGGAAACAAAAAGCGGCTTTTTTTTGTTAATCCGGGCGTAATGCTCCGCGCACGACGCCGGGCCGAAGAGAATCGCTGACGGGAATCATAAGAGAATATTGTCTGTGTGAAAACAACGCACGGCGGCAGGGGATATAGACTTGGAGGAGGGAATAGACAGCAGAAGGGGAAAGCAAAAAAAAAAAAAAAAAAAAAAAAAAAACACAACAGAATCCAATCCGTGCAGCTTATTTTTGCTGCTATCCTTGATGTAGACGGACCACGGTGGGAGGGACATTAATAGCGAGCGGCTCTGCATGGCCATGTATTCCCTATAGCCAGACTTAGGCAAGAGATATTTGACGTCCCGAAGGATGTCGGAGAGCTAATTTTCCTGCTGGCTGTCTATAGTGTGTGACAGTTGAAGATTTCAGTCACAAGTCAAACCGTACACGGGGAGAAATTGTAACTGCAGTTGGCTGGCAAAAATACATGTACAAAATAATTGGGTATAATAAAATTGGCGTGCTTGTGAAACACCTCTTTGCACTACAATCTACTACAAACAAAGACATAAAGTAACATCCACTGTATAACAAAGTTGAATCTGAACACCAAGTCACAAATTTTACATGGGTAATTTCAAGCCACATGAACATGACTTTTAAATCAAGACTGTTCGGACAAAAATGCAAAAATTGAGACAAGATAATAGTACGGGTTTATGCTATTAAAGAGAAAATACACGCTCTGAAAAAAACTAGAAAATAGAACTACATCAAACGTGTATTCTGAGGATTATCGTGTACTGTTAATGCCGTAATGGAAAAAAAAGTATTCCATAAAGAAACACTCCAAGACGATCTGAGCGGTCAAGTTTCAGGATTTAACAAAATGTGAAACATTTCTTGACTTGGAATGCAGATTCTGAGTTGAAGAACATACCTTGTACAGGCGCAGCATTGGTTGACGCCAAGACCAACGAGGCAAGAAGCACTACCAGCAAGGCCCACCGAGTCATGGTGATCAGTTCCTAGAAACAATCAGCCAGACTAGTCCAGAAACTCCTCCAAGAATCAGAGAGAGTTGACACGCCCTCTCCGGTACCTTAAAGCGGTTATGGGAGCAATAAAAAGAAACCAAAGAGCCTCGATATCAAGATGGAGTTTGCGAGGGACAAATGATTCGAGGTTAAAAAAGCGCGTCCTTAATCCACTAATGATGTTCACTGGCGAGGTAGTACTGACAGGAATGGTGAGGTCTTGCTGGATGCAGCACGCACTCCGCCAGCCCACACAAAGCCAAGGCAAAGAGCGTTTCCAGGACGATCTTACCGTCGATTGAAGCCCACTCGTTCTTGGCAAGACGGAGCAAGCCACGCGTACGTCAGTGCTTTGATGTGCCACGTCACAGGAGGAACAACGCTGTAAACACTTGCGTCAGCGAAACCATCGCACGGATGCTGTCTCCATGTGGTCTCCTCCGAAGAAATTGTAACCTGCGAGCAATGCACAGGCGCTCGGCACTAATGAAACCGTCCAGTTATCGCTCCCGGCCTACACTGGCGTCTGATTGGCTAATAAGAGCAACCATGACCGCTGATCGACTAAATGTAAAAAGCTTAAAAATGGATGTTTAAAAATAGGAACGACACAGTACTGCGACGGGCAAGTTAATTACAGTACGGATGACATCTACTTCAAGTGGACCTATGCATAAGGCATGCTATTTCCATCATTGGACACCAAGTACACCCTTAAACCATCATACATCCGCAGTGATAATTTTTCTTTTTTCAAATGAGATATATAAAATATAAACGTTATTTGGCTATTTCTTGTAATACAATTCAGTTGTCAGCCTAGGCCAGATATTAACTGAAATGGTCTTACAGCTGGATTTTTGAATAAGTATGTTAAACAAGTTATAGACAATGTAAAAACCAAACGTCCACGGAAGTTCGGTGTCGCATTTATAATTTTTAATCAGCCATTTTGAGTATTACAACCACGATAACATCAATAATATATCATATTCATAGTTATGCATACGTTTGGGGATTTCTTTATTTTCAGTACTGTGTGAAGCTCTGTCAGGCGTAGCACGGAGCTCAAGATTTGACCAATCCGTTAATTTAAAACAATCCAGCGTGTATTTAGCATTAGTAACTGAAGCGACACCTTGGAACAAACATTTTCACATGTCCAAAGTTGCGCATTTCCGTTGAATAGCGAGACTACCACTCGGTTATAATCGCTAGTAATTAGTTAAATTACTATTTTATAAAATAAATAGTAATATAAGATGAAAAAGTACAATTAAATAATACTATTTAATAAAATTAAATAGTCATTACAGAATAAAACTCATACTAAAATGTAAACTACCGCCATTAAGTACCGACTATTGTTTAGGCTGGCCACGGGTCGATTTGATGATAGCTCACCACATCCAAATATGTCAAACTATATCATTCAAACTTGGTTTAAATTATGTATATTTTCTGTACCAAACAGCAGCAATGAACTACACGTAGCTACAGTTTTTGTCGCGATGTACATTACGTCACAAAACAAAGAAGAATCCGAGTTCCCTTGAGATACATCGCTACTTTAGTAAGTCCGTGAATACGGGCGTTTCGAAATAGTGCGCCTCCAAGAGTTTACAGCGCGTTGACCAATCACGTTACGCGAAATCTGTCGACCCAATGCCCGTATTCATCTCAACTATAATGTACGCCACATTAACCATCGATGACTGTTCCCTTAAAGACGTAGTGTTGAAAGTTTTCCGGGGATGACCTTGTCCATCGGATCGTATCGTTACTCCCCGGTGGAGGCCTGAAATTCATTATCTTGCCAATCGAAACGCAAGATACGCTTGTTAAACGGGGGATACCTTGAAGAGCACTGCACAACTGCTCTGCGAAATCTAACAGGAAACCTTCTCGCAAACCTCGTAAGATTACGTCCCTCCCTCCCTGAACAGCAAGCAAATGGTGGATTCAGATTTCACGCATTCTGTTGCATGTGTATAGGACCTTGAATGGATAATAACATTTTTCATTTGAGCGACGTTGTATTCTCTTTGGAGCCATTATCCAGCAATGTAGATAACTTCATAATTTTAGAATTTGAGACAGGCTCTCCGCCTTGAGCCAAAGCACCCCCTCATCGGCTGAACAGAGTCATGTTGATCAGGAATGTTCGTTTTGTTGGTAACGTGAGCGTTTCATAGTCGTTCGTGGAACCAGCGAAGTGCAGTTCCGACCAAAGTGAACAGGAAAATTGCGCCCTCTCTTGGTCCAGCTCGGAGCTCATACCCCTTTCAATATTTTCCCCAGGAATCTCTCTGAACCCTCCACGACGCTCTACTAGATTTAATGTGGAGGAAACAGTCTACAAACTAACATGGTTTGAGGATTGACAGTCGATTGGCTTTAGTTTCCCAAAGTATTGGAAATTGACATAACATCCCAAGATGAACACTTCGCTGCAACTCCCAAGGCCAAGGGGATCACCCCCTGTTTAAAGTACAGTAGCAATTAAGATTTGCCTTCCTTATAAAAAGTTCCAAAGGATTATTTTTCTAACATGCAAAATTTGCACAACTTTTTCTTCCCTTAAATGTATCAAAACCTAACTCAAAGCTCTTCGTAGTCGCCTCCAGTATTAAAAAGGGCGCTTCTTAAAGATTTGGATTTCTTTTCAAAATAAAATACTGGCACCGATTCAAGGCTGGCACTCCTTATTATAAAGGGCTTTCTGGTAAAATTGTGGAACCCAAATTTACTTACTAAATATTTCTGAAAAAGCTTTGTTTACTGGCCTGCAGTGTTATGAAGTGAAACAGCAACTCGCCAAAGAAAAGCGAATTTAAGACAGCAACAGATTGGGAATTCTTGTGCTATGATAACTGTTAGATTGAGGTTTCTGGCTTCACTTTTTTCATTATATGCAAATTTTCATTGGCATGTAGAAAATGTAAACGCTCAACGACAACGTTTAAAAATAGCAAAACAAACAATGAAAATTGGGTTAAATGGGACACAAAACCATTACAGAGAACCCTTAAATTGCGAACTACTTCAAATCCTGTCGGTGGACGTTGGAGGAACGTGACAGGGTCGTAGTTATGCCACTTGGGACAACTTTAAAAAAAATTCCATTGACGGTACGCAGTTCTTAGAAATCGAGTTAAACATTCGGTTTCATGAGACACAATTGGCATGACGATCCCTTTAAGAATTAGGATTTTGCCAGGATGACGATCCCTGTACTTTGATAATTTGATGCTCCGTAGTAACGGAAGAGAAAATGAATGTCCATTCAGGGACTGATAATGGTCTCATAAATAAAATGCTTCATTCCTTGCCGACTGGATCTGATTGACCAAAACAAGTTGAATGCTGACGGCAAATCACGTGCTTTGTTGCCATGGCAATTCCTATTATTCTGTTTTTGCCTCTTCTGGAGGTCTGATGAGTGCCGTGGTAGTGTTTTGCTTGTGCATACAGCTTAAGGACCAGAATTAAACATTAGAAGGAAACAGCGAACGGGCAACCGTGGTTTGCATATTGACGGTGTGATTTTCACGGGGCGAGTCTCCTTGCGTCGCACGCACACGCTGACAGAACCGAGTTGATGGTGGAATGTGTCACCAGAGAGCAAACAAAAATAAATTGATGAATTTGCTTAATTTATAATGGGGATACGGTAAGTAACTACGGTGTATAATGCTCAATATTAAATTATTTAGAAATGGTAACCATTGACGAGTGCAGGGCTTGATTAAAGTCAATGAACTTAAGAAAGCCACTCGAGTTAGTTTGACCAAACATCCCGGATGTAGCCAACGTGACTACGAAAACAACAACATGTTCTGATGTTCCCTACCCTGTACTTCTTTGATTACAATCTGAAAATCCAACAGATCACATTGGTGATGAATTCCCGGGAAGTCGTTCATTAACGGCAACTGACATAAAATTAATGATCTAGGCCTATTTCAAAAGCTGTTAAGTGATAATGGGGAAAATAATTTCGAAGCATACCGAGGAAAAGGGACACGCGTGCGTAAGTGACATGAAGAAATTGCAAGGACGCAAGTCCAGATTTCGCAAGTGTGCTTAAAGATGCACGGGAAAGACTGAAAAAAATCTTGAGATTAGGAGGTTATTTGCGCCAGTTCTCGCGTGAATTATTCATTCTGCCCCAGGCCGGCCAAGATTTTTTTCTTGGCGTCCATAATTTAAGCGATTCAGGGGGAAAACGGACTCGTCCTGCTTGCCTCCATTATTAACGAGGGCAGCGGGTCAAGGATGTCACTACCACTATGCTGATTCCTTTGTTGTTTAACAGCACTCAGCTCAAGTAGAATTAAAACTTAGTCAAGAAACTAATCGCTTGATTTGCCTTTCAATACATTGTTTTTGCCTAGTTTCATTTTCTCTGTTGTTTTATTCCATTTTTGAGGGGGTGCTTTGTACCCCAATTATAATTTTCCTTTAATAAAGTAACGTTCCTCGTCTTCAAAAGTAAGAGACGCAGGTCAAACTTTGAAACCAACCCTGATGATTAGCCTTGTATTAGAATTCACCACATCATCATATCTAATGCTAAAAAACCTTGGCACGTGCAGAGGAATTGGGCATTTTAAAGCGAAAACATGCAATTATTTCTCCCCATTTGCGGACATCTATAATGCAGAAGGGCTCCGTGTCGACGATGTGACGAGAATAAAATTCGGCTCTCACGCGTTATGGTTGATACTATCCAACACCCCAACAGCTAAGGCAGACGCGCGCACAGCAAGCCTCAACGTCAAACTCAACCTTTAGTCGGCCCGTTATGTAAGCAATAGGGGCGGATGTTTTGGCATTTTGCACGGCGTCGCTTCCACATCGCGACGAGGTCTTTCTGTTTTTTCCCCTGCACGCAATCCGCAGGCCGCATTGAGTTACCCACTTCACATACCACGGCAACGCTAAACTTGATCAAGAGGAGGAAACCAACGTTGACGTCATCGCCAAAATGGAAAAAAAAATCGACTTCGCCGGCCGGGTATTTTTAGACGATAAAAACGACAAAGACATGCGTTGCATCGAACGTATAAATGAATAAACCGCACGTACGCGATGCCTTGAGCACCAGTGAGTTTTTACAATTTAGAACAAAATCAACTCATTCTCCATCATAATCTATACGTACTTCAATCACAAAAGGGACATTCAAAAGCAAGGCTCAACAATTAGCCGCAACTTTTAATAACAGTAATTATAAAATTCTAACTAATCAGGCTGGGGCAAGCGTGTAGCGTAGCTGGACTCATCACTGTTTGGGGAAATTGTGACCAGGAAAAGCCGACTTCTTTTTAGGTCCATACATCAACCTGTAAGAAACACACCCGCTGACTTTCAGACTTATTTTCCTCCGCTGCTTTCGAGCGATGCAGCGTGAGGATTTCAGATGTTACTCGGCTAACCGGGCTGTTTTTCAGCACCAGCTTTCTGTCGAATTAACGGGCACAGTCCCATTACCGCTGGATTCCCTCGATAGGGAGAGTCAGTCAATTGAATTTACTCCATCACCTGTGCGAAATCAGCCATCAATTGACTCATCTATACATCCAGCCAGGGAGTTCCATCACTCCCCGGCCCGGCGGCACCATGGGGTGGCGACCATTAAAGACTGGCCAATTGCTCCACAACACCAAGCGTAAACGCTTCAAGCTGCTGATTCAGACCCCCCCCATGCATTCTGCACTGACGTATGATACTGCTCCTGCTGACGTACTCAGCATATGTTGCCATGGCAACTGCTAAAGAGATGCGAGCATAGAAACGTGCGTTGTCAGGAGTACGAGGAGCCTGCCTCGGCGGCTGTAATAAAGCCTCGGTTTTAGGGCCCCAATGCGGCAGCTTTGAACGCTTACTCTCTGTTTTATTGAATAGAGCCCCTTGTTTGTTGCTTTAAAATTTCAGCGACGCTGTCTGCTGCGGCAGAGGGAAGGGTGGGGGGGGGAAGTATGAGACGTGTTCGGGCAGGGATTTGTAGTGGGATTTGCAAAGCCGGAATGTTTGGATGAATAAGATTGAAAATTGAGCCTGGATTAGGGATCTCATTTTGTACCCGAGTCCGCAGGGCTGCCTTATTCCAGAGAGATTGGCAAGCAGTCTAGAAGCATTGCAAACAAGACGTTAATATCGTGTTGTGCAATCTAGGAACAAGTCACCAGACGGCTTTTACAAAAGCAGAAACCACCTCCTCCCCCCCAAAAAAAATCCACATATATTCACTCTCATGAAAAGTAATGCATCGGCTTGAGTCAGTCTAAAATTAAACACACACCTAGAAAGGACAGGTCAGCGAGGCAAATACACTGTACCCGATTTTCAGCTTATTATTTGGGCAACCCCCGTTTTTTCCCCAATCTATGAAAAATGAGCCCACGGCAATGCGAGGAGGAATAATTCGATTAAAACAGACCAATGTTATTACCTTTCAACAAAGTAATTACTTTATTTGCCCTAATAGGGTCTGGACTTTAATTGCCCGACGCGATGACAAGGGGCAATGTAATCGCATCTGACATACCGAGGAATTATTATTTCATATTGGGGGATGGAGAAGATTTTCCAAATCCGGCCGTTGGGTACTTGAGCATGAAGCAAAATTACAGGGTCCTTTGAAACGGCATACGATAGATTGGAATTTAGTATGCTATTCACTATTACGGTCTCAATCGAGCATTTTCAATGTCCTGACTGTGGAAGTGCCTTCACCCTAAACTTACGACTCTTCGTGGGGCTTAAAGGCTTTGTTCTTAACTCGGTGTTACAAAAATTTGTAGCATCTACTGACATTCGAATACCGTTAGGTCTTGTGATTGTAATTTGAAATCTTTTTATGTAACTTTGTTATAAATTTGGAGTGTAGAACCCAATGCAACGCACTATGAGATGATTTTCACCGTGTCAGTACAGAAAAACTTATGACATATGTATTACGTAGAGTGAAAACAGTAAGTTTGTCATGTAGCGTTTCAAATTAGCGCGCCTCCAAGAGTTTGCAACTGCTTGGGCAATCACAATGCACGAAATCTGTCGACCAAATTTGTGTTTGGAAAGGGTCGACGGATTTCGCACACTGTGCCAACGCGTTGCAAACTCTTGGAGATGCGCCATTTTGAAACGCCCGTATTGGTTACATTATGAAGCATATTTTTTTATAACGTACGCACAAAGCTAGGAAAGCAGGATCAGATGTGCATGCACATGAATAAAGCAAACATAAAGTTACATGGAAATCAATGCAAATGCGTAAAGTTGCTCCTACTTTAAATGTCAGCGAACTTACTTTAGTGATAACCATACCAGCAGCTCGATTTATTCCATTTTTTTTTAAAGGTAGTTAATGTAAATCCCTCTTTGACACTTGTGTCTTAACTCAAAATCCGACAAACAGAAAATATTCTCAGTGTACTGTGCTGTTCAGCATCTCAGGAGAAACAGCATCTTGATCTTGAAATCTCCTAACCTTTCTGGTTAATGTGTAAACGTACATGTATATATCCGTCCAGTTACTTTAATTATGGCCCATGCATCTCCGGCATCACATTGAATTGAATTTGCAACGACTGCACGACTCCGGCTGAATACAACTTGAAATGAATTTGTTCCATATACGTACAATGTGCATGGTCTGGATTTCCAACCATATGGACGCAATATATAGCGGGTGTTGTGCGTAAACACAGATAGTCAAAAGTCAATGATGATAAGCACGCCAAGAACAGATCCCCAAGGTTTGTGCTTAACAGACATAAAAAACCTTGTTTGGCATTCCTTTCTATATGCACATAGTTTAGAAAATGGAAGGGAAAAACCTACTTTTTTTAAGAGCAACTTGAACACTCTTTAAAAAAGAAATCCTAATATCACTTTTGTGAATGTTCCCATCTTTACGTAACTGATAACCCTGACCTCCAGAATTCCACTGATGCTGTTTTACTAGAGTGAGGTAAACCACCTGAGGACCTATGGATACCAACACATGCTAGACAAACATGTACTGGGCACTATGTGGACCTCGTTTCTTATTCAAAGGTCCACAGAAGGGTGCGTCACGCAGACACACACACTCACCGAGTCTGAACGCGTGCCAGAGCCAGGCAAAGTGACATGAGGGCATCAGTGACAACAGTGGCACGGACCATGACCAGCTGGATTAAAGGGCCCATGTCAGTTAGGAGTGTGTGGGCATTCCTCAAACTGTGACTGTGTCTCTCGGTTTGGCTTCATTTGACTGGAATCAGGCTCGATCAGTACGAATCAATGGTTTGTGATAGCATGAAGCCACAGACGGAAGCGTTTCCGTGTGGTGCAAACACTACAAAGCTGGCTGTTGAGTCTGCAGGCAATAGGTGAAGCTTGAGTCGGAGACCATGAGACATCGGGTGACTCCCACAATGCTACTGAGTGTGTGCAGGAGGCAGACTTGACAAATGGGGTTACCAAAGGGGGTGGGTGTTTGGAGGTAAACAAATAGGCGCACAATGCCAGAGAAGCCTCTAGGTATCGCTTTGGATGTAACCGAGTGGTCCTGATAAAAAGGCTGCTCCAGTGAGATCAGTCCAGCTTTTGTCCTCACACAAATGAAGCCTTGCTTTCCTGCGTGTGAGCCACATAGTAACAGAAGGATCCAGCACAGGTTAGGTCACCCACGCTAATGTCTGTGGAAGATGACAGACTTGACAGTTAACAAAAGCAAACAAAAAACCCCACTAAATTAGGTTTAGATAAAAATAAATAAGTGCCCCGAACATACTTAAAATGATGCACTAACCAATGTTGCTGCCCAGCCAAGGCCTAAACCTAGGACTTGTTAGTGATCATAACACGATTTCTATTGTTTTAGCCACTGTGAACCTGACTCTTTACCTTTTAGCCCCAAATGTCACAGGCTTCACAGGACCATCAAGAGCAATCCACAAACCAAATTTGAAGTCCATTTGTCCAGTAGTTCTCAAGCTTTTATGCTAACAACATTTTTCCCAACACACACACACACGCACCCACAAGCCTACATTACATGGACTTCATGCAGGCCCACTTGTGCACACCCAGTTGTGTTTTGCTATGCCATCGAGGAAAGCTCAATGTGTTTACCTTTGTTCTCACATTACACTATCCACAGCCACACATATGTACCACTATCGACAACAGCTTTGCCTCCAAGGACAGGGAAACACCCTTTGCTCCCTTTGAGTTCTGTCCTCTGTGGTAAAGCAAAACCTCTTCACACCCATGGAAGGACAAGGCTGGGGTAGTATGCCCTTAGTTTTTTTATTTCCTTTAACATTCGTCGAATTTGTTGTTTTGTTTCCTGCGTATTATTTTGCAACAACAAAGGCGGCATTCTATCACAAGCATGGGGAAAATGTCTCCTTTGTTTCATTATGAATGTCTAATTGGCATTATTTCACCAAACACACTTGAGTTTCAAACATTGAGACCACAACTGAAGCAGAGGGGAACATGTAATGTATATTTGGACAACATTTCAAGTGTGTTTTTAACCTATCCAAAAGCATTTGGGTTTGTGAGGGCATGTTGCAAATTGCAAATTTCTCTCATCAAAATGACACCATTAACTCTGATTTATGTGGAGTTTAAGGAATAGATATTTGGGGATCCAATCTCTGGGGAGGATAAATGTTAACAGATTATATAGGACCGTGTTGCTATTTACAAGGTAACACCGTGCAATATTTAAATCCAAACCGACATTCAACTTGATGTCATTTCTGGTTAATAGAGTTTTGTGGAAAGTAATGGCAGACTGTATTATGTGTATAGCTGCCATTAACCCTAACAGTCCCAAATCCTCCAATTTCAATATGACTTTCCAGACACTGTACACCCTTGGGTTAACATGCCAGTTCATCAAGGGGATAATGATGGATCCAAGGTGGTTTCAAGTTTATTTTAGGACAGCTGGTCAAAAGTAAAAACAATTGACTTCCTTGGGGTCCCAGCGATAGTAATTGGAATTCGGACACGGGAAGCCTATCAAATCATCGAGTTGGTCAAGATAGATCAAGCCACACATACATGTATAACACGACACTGTGCGAAGGTCTTCTGATGCTGAAATTTACTATTTTATGGTACAAGCTGCATTTTTCTAATTATCTATGGCATTTTCAGAGTATTTTTGGACCAGCCAAAAGGGTTTCCAATTATTACCACATGCCTCGAGAAGAGCTTTTTATGAAGTATTCTTGCACACAGAAATACAAAAATGCCAGGAAATTAGACTTTCTACAAAAGAAAAAAAGAAAAAAAAAGTAATCATGGGATTTATGCTGCAGGTTGTGACGCTTGAAGAAGGCTTCCATTCATGAGCAGAGCCTGAAAGTCTGACGAATTCTTTTCCACACCAAGGGCAAAATTTGCTCTTTAATGCAAAATACATACACACACTGTTGGCAGTGACTCAGCTTTGCTGGAAATTTTGTGTGCATTTGCTTCAGCGCTACTTTCATCAGGTCAGAATTAGACAATACTGAGTTGAGATAGCCGTTGCATAATTTGATAAATTTTTCTGGTGTAAGGTCAACTCACGCGAGTGTCGTCGCATTATGTGGTCACAAAGTGTTGTATGCTTTTATAATGTGAATGGTTACTGGTCTGGGCTGTAGCAGTCATTCCATTTTGATGTTCTGTGCAGACCAAAGCTCTCAGACAAATGGTCAATAATTCAATATGAGTCTGTCGGAATTCTTTCAGAATGTCTGGAAACATCAACCTTATGGGTGACTTAACAATGGATATGGTGAAGCATTGTGTGCATATGGCGACAAAAAGGTTTCTTTTATTTGCATATTCCGTTTGCATTTGGTTTTGTTTCTGGTTTTTGTATCCTTCACAATTCAAATCAAATTATTCAGGGAGAGATTTGCGTAGGGCTTTCTATAAATTCAGAATCATGCTTCCGAACTGTGGCAATATAACAGAGCCAACACAAGAATATAAATTGAGTGAGACTGTAGAGTGCCATCATCAAAATCTGGTACTTGGAAGGAATCTTACCTGGGTCCAATCCATGAATGTGAGACATGGGTGGCTTCATGCTCAGCTGATAGGAAGAGCTGGTGCCTGAACTGCCTTTCACGGTTAATCTCCACAGAGAGGGTTGGTAGCTAGACAAAGACATGAACAACTTGCGTCACTAAGATGCACAGCACAATATGTAATCAAAAAATTTATGGACAGAGAAACAAGTCTAGGAGGGCTTTTGTATGCATTTGAAATTTCCAAAATGAATCAAAGCTAACTTATGCATTTGCGAAGAAATGAAGACAAGTCAATAAACCTGTCATTCCCTGCAGGGTATGAGCTAATCTGTCTATATGTATGTTTGCTTCACTGCACTGAGAATAGAGACCTTGCACAAAGCAGCCATATTAGAGGTACGGATCTCTTCTTTTGTTTCAGTAATGCATAGCAGGTCCACTCATGCTTGTGAACAACTGCATGCATATCCAAGATGGCAGTCGGGAAAGGGAGTTATATATATTTTTTTTAATGAAGACTGTGAAATATAAAGATTTCATTCTTTAACAACCTTAAGCCCCTGCCATATCATCTGGGGTACAGGACTCAGCACTACAAAATACTACGTAGTAACATGTGGCTGAAGGACCTAGCCATACAAATTACTACTTCTGGCTAGGGAACTTCCATTGTTACTTGTACAGAGAACAATAAAGCCATGCATTCATAGTGCCACAGCACTGTATGGTACATTGTCTTATCTATTTTATTTTATGGCTTCAGAGAACAATAAGGTCATGGTACTCATACAAGCCACAGCACTGCATTTTACATTTTACAACTGGGCACATGTACTATTTTGTAGCTTTCAGTGAGGTTAGGTGAATTACATGTATGTCTCAAGTGGCAAAAGGAAATGACAAAATTATCCAAAAACAAATGTCAAAACTACCTCACATGGGTGTCTTACACAGCTCACCCCACTACAATGTCACGGCTAATGGCGCATGAGTGCTGGAGCTATAAAGAATACAGCCTTCATTAGTGGTACATATACATTCCTGGACCTTGAGTAGGTAAGGCAAGAGGGAAGATTGATGGCTTCATCAGGAAGCTGACTGGCCATGGAAGAGGTCACTTAGTCATTTCACCTTGTGTAAAGGCTTTGTACTGTCGCTGCCTCGACGGGAAGGCTAAATGTGTGGATGTCATCATGAGGATGGGACTGGAAGTAACTCAAGCCGGATCTGGGGGTTCACAGAAAATGAAAAAAAAGGGGGGGAGTTTCCCCAATGTTTCAGGGGTGAGATTGGAGGTACATCCACAAAAATACCGTCAGCAGTATAGGGTCTACGGTGTAAATTTCTGTTTGCCATCAACTTTTATGAAAAAAAACCTTGACAGCAAACATGGGATTTCCCAGACTTCAAATTAGATTGTTTGAAAAATCTTGAATGTAAGAAAAACCTGATGAAAAAACCCTGAAATCAGTCAAAATTATGACAAAATTTGCCCCTGACCTATGGCCAAGTTTGTTTGGTTCCTGCCAGTTAAACTTTCTAGGAACCAGGCACCATTACCCAGTAGTTGACTCACAGTACAAGTATTGAACTTTGCCATTGCTGGGCTGTATCATGCAATCTGTTTTTAGTCAGCATCACTGAAGATGACAACTCTGATATGCTACCGGAGGCAGAAGATTTTTGTTCTCTATTTTTCTGTTTTCATTAAATGTTGCCAGAAAAGCGGCCACTAATTTTCATTGGAAAGGAACCTTACCCAAATTACAAAAGAAATGGCCCAGTCATGCACAATAATTCATATGCATTTATTTTCTAGCACATGTTTATATTTTCTAGTACATAATTTTCCTGTTTCTGCAAGGACTGTAATTTGAAGCCGCAGCCAAGTAATTTGAACACAATCTAAGTTACAAAAGCAATCCAAATCTCATGGCCGACAGTAGGGTTTGGAGGATGGGATCCCACAGAATTTAAGAAAATTCTCGATCCGGTGAATCAATGCCCAGAGACACAGCATGGTAAAACACTTCAACAGCCCAAGGGGATGGTTCTTTAAGCCTGCTGTGCTAGCGGCTGGTAGCACTGTCATATTGCATCGTCTTACCTAACAAGGGCCCTGCGGTGCTCGGGCGGGAGTTTGAGCGAGGTCACAGAGACCACAGCGACCTCCAGGACATTATGCAAGGCCTGCAGGCGGGCTGCCTGCTCGGCCAGGGAGCAGGCGTCGCCCGATTCAAGATACCACTGGAGCTGGTTCAGCGTAGTCAGCTCGCTCGCTGAATGGGCAGAGAATAAGGTGGGAACCAATTAATGCTTCAACATCATTAACTATCAGAACTTAGGTCAGGTCAGACCTGAAAGATTGTATGGCACAGAGTCTGCAAGTCATGAAGTTTGTAGTATGAGCGGAGACAGAGAGGATGCATGCTGAATAAGGGGCCGTCCACGAAGCATGTATCCAAGGAGGGGGACAGGGGGTGTTGACAATACCCCAAGGGAGGGGGTGCAGAGTCTGCTTTTAATATACTGTCATGAAATTAATGTACCGCGGTCGTCCCTTTCATTCATGTAGATCTTAACAGCGCCAGTAACATCTGTCTGATCAGTCAAAGGGCAACATGGAATATGAACGTGTGCAAGGGGACGGGAGGGACCAGTGTGTGCATGGCAAGCATGGACAGGAGCAGGCTAAATAGACAATAGTCAGTCCTCTTAGAACCTCAATTCACAAAAGATGCATACCTATATAAACCAAGGTTTAGAAGTCAGGACATACATGTATCTTTTAATTATAGTGTGATGTCCTTCTGAAGCTTCTTACAAATTAAATCAATTCTATGTCTTCTTAAAAAAAAAATTGGTGGCATTACTTTGGTTAAATGTATGCACTGTAGAAGGCTACTGTGAGATCAGATAAATTCTTATATAATAGATTTGATTCTGTAGCAACAAACCACCTAATTTGTTTGATTATTTCAGCCTAATTTGTCTAGTACAAGCCAGTGCTTGATTTTGAAGGCAAGTAACGGATGACTTTAAAGGTCAAAACTTATTTAGGCAAGAAACCTTTCTCAAGGCAATTAAGCAAGCTTCACTGCAAGGCTCTTGCAGGTCAAGCAGAACTTATCAGTGCGCAACAGAGCAAGTTATAAGGCACTTACGGTCTTGCTGTCTATTCAGCACGCAGGTGACAGCAGCTTATAAATAACAGTTATGAAATGAGGACCTCAACACCCAGCAGCAAATATTGCACACTTTTGCTGTGTGTCTGCAGGATTATTTCCCAAAATGGAAAATCATCCACTAGTTGAAATGCTTCTGTAAACTGTCTTTGACATTTACAATTGACTATTTTATGCAAAGTCACATTACATGTAATTTACAAATCTGCAGTGCTTGTGCAGTAAATGGTGTGTAGTCAAATATAAGCACACACATTTTTGATGGTGATATATTTTCAAGTAGGTCACTTGAGAGACATTTTGTGGTAAATTTTTCAACATTAGGGAGACATCGGTCATTAGGGAGACATTTCAATGTCTCCCTAATGCTCCAACTACCAAAAGGAGGAAAGTTTTTATTGTCCACATTTTGAGAGATGATAGATTAGGGTCTGAAAGGAAAACATGCAAAGTTTGGTTAAGATTGGATTAGGGAATATTGAATTATGGGACGGTAAAGTTTGAAAAATTTTGTGCACGTTCCTATGGGAATGTCTCCCAAGTGACCCATTTTTGGTAATATATTTCTTTGCACTCTAATCTGTCAAGAGAGTCAAACCCCATATATTAACGGATTAACAAATTGTCTCTCACTTTCTCAGTCCTGTGAAATCCTCAAGCCCCCTCCAGTTGATCTGAACAGCCTGAGGAAGGCTTCAACTTTATTAATCGAGTTTGATCTGTAATCAGCCATTTCAGCACTTTATTTCACGAATTAAGTATAACCATCTCTGTCATAGTGCTCCTTTCAGCTGTGACAGACAGAAAAACATTCGGTCTCTAGAGGGCTCACTACTTCTAAACATCTTGACAAAGCAACAGTTTTCCTGACAAACATTTCTGCACTTACCAATGAAGAAGTTGGTATAGTCCCGCCTGAGTTTGTCTAGTCCAATCTCCACCAGCATGGTCAATATGGCCACTTCATCCACACTGACTGTGTGCATCTGCTGTTGGTAGGAGGCACGGATGGCCTTGGCCAAAATGCTCTGGTTATCACTGTGAACCTGACAATGTGTGGTAAAATACAAACATTAAAGCCATGATTTGGTTTCAGGGGATGTAAGATTTCATACACTTAGATGAATTGAAAACATAAATGTTATAAACTATTTGCAACTATGATTTTGACAAGTTTTATGAATACCACTGCCAGAAAATCCTAATTTTGACATTAAAAAGTTCCTTTTGGAGTTATTCTGTGCCTAATCTGAGGGAGTTTGTTTAAAGGGTTGTGTCTGTTCCTCTTATTCCATACTACACCTGCACTACTCAGGGGCGGATCCAGGATTTTCCAAAAGGGGAAGTGTGAACTAAAGCAGCAATGGTATATTGCCAGCGAGTGCAGAATCTAAAGCCTTTACAGCACCTGCTTACGGCCTAATTATGTGTAAATATGTGCAAATTATGGGTAAATTATGTGCAAATATGTGCCAATATGTGTAAATATGAGTAAATTATGTGCAAATATGTGTAAATTATGTGAAAATATGTGTAAATATGTGTAACTATATGCAAGATTAAATTTGTATTGGTAACGTTAGTAGTTAAATGGACATTATTCTGTCTGATTTTTTAATTACAGTTCTGTTGAAATGCTTGAGATGTCTATTTGGATGTAGAGTTTTTAAGAATGCATTTTATAAACATGTGAACACCTCATAAACATGATAAACGTGCCCATCAAACACAGGCAGACACCTGCAGGACTCTTACAATAGGCTGCAGTTCTCCTGTCTTAAGTTCCCTGAAGACCACGGAGAAAGCTTTGATGACATCATCATAACACGTGGCCTTGGACCACAGGATGGTCCAGAGACTCTCCGAGAAGTAGAGATCTTGACGCTCGGGAATGACGTAGCCACGGAGGAGGGAATCAAAATCGGTGTCGCTGTTCTCCAGGGGAGTTTGTACCTAGATGGTGAAGGTCAATAGAAACGACTGCTGCAGATATATACTGAATGTGCCAGGCTTGGCCTGTTGATTGAAGGATTGGATAGAAATGCTGAAAAAAAAATGTGAAGTAACACAGTAACTGAAACCTACTGCAGGTGCATGTATTTCGAGAGTCAAATTTTCATTTACACTATAGATTTTGTCACCAACTTGACTGGACTGCACTAAATGTAAACAATACCATCACATGTGGACCGCCATGGCCACGGTGATTGCATATTCCTATGTGCAGCTTCAACCACGTACAAGTGAACTTGGGAACGCTGCATGCTTGACTAGTTTATCTTTAATTAAGTAGATTACCATCACAGCACTATGTACTCATCACAATCACAACACAACACGGTCCAGCATTGTGACATCACAGGAAAGAGGTCTGTACTATGAAGGATGCTAACTTTATTATGTAGGCAAAAGCCAGTGAGACAAAGATCTGACACAGTCTCATACTCTCATCGGGTAATCAATGGCAGAGGGGGGTAGGAAAACTGGAGAAATTCTTAGTAGGCTCTACAGTGGTTTTCAATTGGTAACGGAATATACAGAAAAAAAACAAAAAACTCCAAAGTCCAGTGAAAAGTGGCAGGACGGTGATTTTGGGTAAGCAAACATGAGCAAGCATTAACAGCCTACCCTAATGCTACAAAATATTCCCCGCATAAGTGGAAGATCGGGGCAGAAACTTGACCGGGAACTGAGCAGAAACACTGACCGCGGAGTATTGGTCTGGCCTCTCTCCTGGCCATTTACATCTGAGAGGGATACAGTAAGTTCTGCATGGATATAAAAAGGGGCATATTGGCAGACCTGCTAACGCGTACTCCTTCCAGAGGTCAGGCATTACCACACCATAGATTAAAATGTTAAATGAAGTGAACGCTCCTTTAAGTACCTCTTAATCTATTGTGAGGTAATACCTGACCTCAGGAAGGAGTACGGCTAGGTTGGCAGGTCTCTATTGGCTTTATCTCGTTAAACTTTAGCCCTAACAGTCCTCAGTCCTCCAACAAGTGAAGGACTGAGGACTTATTAATGGATTTGTAAACAGTGCAGTAGCTGTAATGTATCAAATTATGCCCTTCCAAACGTGTTGTAGTCGAGGCCGTCACAAGGCCACTCCACAGACCAGTCACAAGTAACAACATGAATAATGACAAGAGCAATACTGTTATCGACGTGAACAGTTTAACAGTCAGTGACTTGAAGTCAGACTGCCCGTCTTGTGATTGTCTGATGGTCTTGTGTTAGTCTGGAGGTGGTCTGATGGGGTCTCCAAGACGACACAGCCTGCCGAATGGCGGCTTTTGGCCTCACCTGGAGTTCTGGCTTTCTCTGCGGCCCTTGTTTTTCCTTCTCAATGAGTCTGGTCACGGCCACCTCTAATGATTCGCTTGATGACTCCTCCATGTTCCATTCAAGTTCTTCAGTTTCCAATCCCTGAACAAAACCCTACAAGAAATGAACAAAATAAATCTGATCGATGATTTCCATTAATACTCTTCCTTATATTTAAACAGCACCTATCAGTGAAAGGCATCTACTATAGTAGTGATAAATTAAGCAAGATTAGTACTTTATTCTCTTCAAACTGGTCTATGATGTAAAATTCGGGGGAAAAGGTTTTGCTGGTTTAGAAAACATGTTATTGACAAACTCTTTTCATATTTTGCTTTGACTCTTAAAGTATCCCATAAGCAGCCTAAAACTGGTTTTAAGAAGGGATGTCTTTGTTTCTTGTTTCATTTTTCAACATACACGTACATGTGTTTAATTTGTTCCTTTGGTGTCGTGTTTCCCTTCTGAGCAGATGGCATTTTGTGGTAACATGGGTGATATGCTTGGGATGGGGTTGAGGATTGAATGAGCTGGCCAGATAATTTGAGGAAGGGCAACATACCACTAGTGTTGAGAGCTCTTTATAAACACTGTAAGCTGCACTCCTCATGTCTCCTGGTACAGCGCGCACATGCTGTTAACAAACAAAACATCCATTTCAAGACTACATGTACAGTGTATGTTGGTAGTTATAGCACTGAATAAGTATTAGTCCCGTTCTGCCATTGTGGAAGACAACCTTTCGGAGGTTTTGGATAACTTCCTTTGACAGCGCTTTCAAACGATGGTTTCACAGATCAGAAATGTGAAATACTAAAGTGTTCTTAATGAGAAGTTATGCAAACTTGCACGACATACCACATTGCATTTGGCGCTGTGAGGTTTCTCCAGGATTGCTTTGACGTGTTCCCAGCTGCAATCCATCGTGACCGATGTGCAGTGACTGTGGCTTGCTGGGTCCAAGACTGACGTCTCATGGTAGGTCATTCCTACAATCTCATACAGAGCAAGAGCAGAGGTAGTCACCTACAAGGAAGAAGCAGAAATGAAAATTTGGAGATGCAAGGATGAGGTTGACCAATGATAAAAATAGCTGAAAACAGCTGAAAAAAAGACATAAAGACGCTGAACTGTGAAAATCTCCTACACTTTTGAACACAGCCTGTGAGGGAAAAAAAGCTGAAATCAGCTGAAAAGCTGGGAAATCTCACCCCTGGAGATGAAGAGATATCCACAAGAAACCAGCGGAGGAGTTGCAATAATGGCAGAGGTAGAATAATGTGACATTTGAGGACTTTTAACAGCAGACACTAAGGCAGGAAAGAGTTCTGGCTCTGATTACACGAATCATAAACTTTGGTTTCTGTACAAAGGGCTAAAAGTTGCAAACACTGAACAGACAAAAGAACTTTATGAATCAGAAATCACACTGTAGAAGATCCAAGCTATAAAACCAGATGTGCTTACATTGTCTTTATGCTGTAGGCCTCCACTCTGCTGAATCACTTGGTCAACGGTAAGAAGACTGGACTTGGACATCACTGGACCTAAGAAATAGTTTAATATTACAGCTTATGCAACCTATGATTCATGGCAATACTCAGCACTAGCCTCAAATGGCAATAGTAACAGCTTCCCAGATGCACTGCTGTTGAGGATCTGTTGAACACCTGTGCGTTTTGGCTTGAAACACTGCTAAATGTGACCACATGCAACAGTTGTAAAAGTACATATATACAGTGTACATGTACATGCAGCTTACTTGATGTACATAAAAACTTACCAAATTTGGTGGTCAGCCATCATACAGCCAAACAGTCACAGGGTCTAAACGTGCCAGCCGCCACAAGATCCAATGCTGATATGTTGAATTAGATTACCTCACATTGTCTCTATTACTTCATGGTTAGTTTGCTGCTGCTGCAACGCCAGACGGTCAGCAGCAGCAATGTGTTGCTGATTGAACCTCAACAGGAAATCCTTAACACGGCATGCATCACTATCCATTATCCAGATGCCAGTCTCTACAGGGAAAACTTACCAAAACAAGACACAGTTGTCACTGACATGCCTGGCGACCTCTGACCTTTACCCTCCGCCGACCTCGCCCTCTTATTGGCTGAGCATGCCATCACTGCGGTGTGGTCTCTGTCTTTACCATCACAGTACACAACCATATCAGGTAGCGCATCGTCTGCCCCTTCGTCTGTTCCTCGCAACGAGGCAAGGTGTGGGTTGTTGCAGATATTGTGAAGAGAAAGAAGATATCTGCAGCACACAGTTGAAATCATTTCGTACATGTACATGAAAATATGCTTTTTCCAATCACAACAGGCAAGGCAAAAGACTTCATGACAGCATTTTCAAGATAGTGAACTATCTTTTATGATGCAAGAGTTGACAAAAGAGAGTTATCATCACTGTGTGGGTAAACTTGTATGGGGTATTAAACTAAACAGTTTCCCTAAAACCTGCATGTATACTTCTGTGAAACCTCCTGGTAAGTTTGGAAGAATATGGTTTAGTAATACAAAGGCTGAAGGCTCATTGGAGCTGCTGGTAAACAGGAATATTCCATAATATACCAATTCAAATCTCAATAAATACCCGTAATGAATTCTGAACATATTTCACCTGGCTTTGTCCAAGGATACCGGCCAACAAGTCTTACATTCATCAGGATCTGCGTCACTCCTCCTACTGACATATGATCTTTCAGCATCATCCTGAAACTCATCCATTAAACTGCTGTTGTTTTTTCCCAAGCCCTTGGGAATAGGAAAACGAAGATGTAATGTGAGTCTTGTGAGACCCCCCACATTTCACTTTTTAGTACTTGTACATATGATCTCAAAACTGAGTAGGTACATGTAGATAGGATTTTTTTCAAATTTTTTTATTCACTTTTTCTAATACTTTTTCTAACAGTAGGAGTTGTCGGGTGTTTGATATACATTTGTAAAATGAACACTTAAAAGGGTACTCCATGTATGGGGTTCCCACAGAAATCTAGGAAACCAACGACATGACTTGTTTGGGCCTTTCTACGACTAATTTTAATTAATTTCCATGTCATTTACACTCCATTTTACAAAGAAGGGTCATCTGGTGCCATGGAGCAGAAGACTGCCATACATGTAGACTGACAGGGAGCTGGATACAGTACAGTACAAATTGGCCTATGGCATATCAAAATAAAAAGAATCTTACCGTAATCTTGATTTGCAAATCTTTTCCATTACCTTTTTTTCCTCCGGAAACAAGATTCCATGAGATCCTACATGTACATGTATTTTCCTACATTTTCCATGACTTTGCAATGACTTTCCAGGACATTTTTTCCGGATTTTCTATGACCATGGGAACCTTAATGTAGTCACATTCACGTACATATGAAAGTCTGTTCAACCTTTTTGCACCACATTCAAACTACAATCTTAGACACGTGTTGCTTTGTTTACAAGGTCACATTTTCCCCAATCCCCCCCCCCCAATAAATTTAGGGTCACTCAGTCAAAATACATGTAGGGGAGGTTAGACAACAAGATGCATAACTCGGGGGGGGGGGACTGAGTCCCTTTCCAAAGGAGTGGTGGAAAACAGGCCCACTGTAAAAACAATGGCAATCACATCATACCTTGGAGATGTCATCTTCCTGGACTAAGATGACTTTCCCTTCCTTCCAAAAATTGTGATCGGACCCCAGGATTTCTCTTATTTCTTCAGATGTAGAGTCAACGAGTGACAGCGTGTAGTCTTTGAAGATGACACTTGGCTTCACTTCATTTTGCTGGTGCAAAGTTAAAAGTCTGCCAAAAAGAGGAATTTTCAATGCATTGAAAATCTACATGTATACATGTACATGTATTTTGCTGTCATCTGGTTGCAGTTTACTCCTTTTTTTTAATTTGAACATCAGGATTGAGCCAGTAACATGTGATAATTAAACTGATAAATTCACCCTTCATGAAAAGGCGATTGCGTGGCTGAGTGGTTAAGGCATGCAGCATTAGCACTGGCCTGCACCAGGATATAAAGCCCCAGCTTTGAGACCTACATGTAATTCAAGCTATTCAAAGTTTTCTTCTATTGTCACTATCCTTCTCCTGTTTTAAAATTCCCCATTTTCCCATTTTAATTTTTATTTTGTTTGTAACACCAACTTGGTACATTGTAAATGTGTAGGCTGAAAAATAAACATTGTTGGCAAATGTGGGGTAGATACATGTAATTTAAGTTTGAATGAGCTTCAAATTTCAAGTCCTGATTACAGTCAATAGTAGCTCATTCAGGCATAAATATTCAGGCGCAATAGGTAAAATATGCTTCAGGCCATGACAATGAAGGTCATGAATTTGCTTCCATTGTCAACATCTTGAAAGTTACCATTGTTTGGTATTTTTATTTTCATTTAGACATTTTATTTAAAACTAAATTAGGGTGACAGGTACAGGCATCTAACCGACTCAAATTCTGCTTTAAATATTTTGAGACTCAAGTCTTATAAGTTTGTACATGAGTCGAGTCTCCATGAGAGATTCAAGTCGAGTAAAGTCATTTAGTCCCAGAGACTTGATTCGAGTCATTTACCGGTCAGGACTCGAGTAGAGTCGCTAAAATTTAGGACTCAAGTCGGACTCAAGTTGAGTCACAGACTGAAGTCATTACCCATTATTCTGGGTGTTATGTGGCATCTGCACATACAACTCTATTCCATTTTTTAAAACCATTTCTAAGCAAAAGCTACTTTGTGACTCAAAATGAGTATTATGAGTTACAAATCAGTTGAATAATCATGCTAGTCATCGGCCATGTACATGCAGGCCTACTCATTGGACATCATGGTCGGCGGTGTAAAGCTATTTACTTATTCCTCGTTTGACATTCGACATTAAATGTTAAAGAAACTACTGATGAGGGACAAAGAAGGACTTACAACTCAACTTTAAAGTGCTCGATGAGCATCGCCACCCGGTCAGACAAAACAGTAAGAAACACTCCAAAAATGCTCAATTACTGCCTCCAGCTAAGCAGCACAAGTGAGGCCAGTACTATCCAAGAAATATTTGGTGTGTTTTATTTGTTTCCTGTTAATTACAGGAAACAGCGAGCAAAATATCTCTAACATGTCTAACATTAGATCTACTTTTGCCATCGTGAATAAACTTTTTTATTTTGATACACTGTTCCATTATCCATGCAATGTCTGTAATTTTATTTAGGCTCTCTAAAACATGTTTTCAAAGTCTTTGTAAGAATTTGACAACGGTGAAAAATAGGCCTAACAGAAGAAAGGTTATAAAAGAAAATAACGGGAGGAGTTCCATATACTGACGCTAGCAATTTTTCCTTACAATGACTTAATACATAATAGCCATCAGAAAGCAAAAAGATGTCCAGAAAAGTTCAATTTAGGAGGGGAAAACCACGGCGTTTACTTAGAACATGTAGAAAAAACTTGGAATTTTTAAGACCCGTCAACAGGGCACGAGGAATACTCCTCCGTCGTACATGTATATGACGGAGTATTGTTTGTTTACACCCTGTTTACGGGTGTAAAAAAGTTTACAGGTCTAGGAATGTTTTTCAGACCAGTCTCATAGGGTTTGTGCACAGGGTGTCAAGTGGGGTCCGTACATGGAACTCTTTCCAAAATAATGTAGGCCTATGGAAATGAAAAATATCTTCATGTTTTCTAAACATTTTCTGAATGAACTGTCCGGAAATTGGACAGACATGACAATTAAGTTTTGCAACAATCACGACACAGTCATGACAGTGATAACAAACATGACAAAAATGACGAATAGCTTAATTCACTGGGAAAGCGTTATAAATGGAAGTGAGACTGAGATGAGACTCGAAGCAGCTTCTCGTCGTGGAACCTTACTTTTTGACTGACTCAAGGAAGTCTTCTACATCAGCTCTGAAGGTTTTCATGACGCCCACAACAACATTTCAATGCGTGGATACGATGTAGTGGCCATTCTACATTTGGCCTGCATTTCAGAATTTGGCGCTACAGAGCATCATGGGCTGGTTGGACGGCGTAGGCCAAACAAGCAATATAATTGTTTCTCCCATTTGTTACATTGAAAAATCACGGCAGGGAGGGGATAATTTTCTCTTTCTTAATTTGTAGCTAAATTGTGTAACTGCATGGAGGAATAAAACAAGTGGCAAATTCATATATAATGGTATATTGGTTTACTAAATTGTTGGTGGGTTCTTTTTGAGATTTACGAGTGTTTAGGAAGCCTGCCTAAGGGAAAGAAAAAGTCCAAAAATATAGGGAAGATGAAGGGAAATTGTCCTGCCCCTTCATCATGTTCATGCGCCAATGATATGGTGCCATGGTGCCATGGTGCCCAGTATTACTACTAGTACTGTACATGTAGTACTGGTTTCAGTACCAGCATTGTGTAAATTGGGCTTGTCATTCCTTTCATCAGAATCATGATTACCAGTGGCGTAAATCTGTGTTGGAAATGGGGTTGTGGTGAGTTAGTTGGGGAAGGGGAATGGCTTGCCCGGCCATGGGAATTTGATAGGGGGGGCATACACTATATATGTAGGGGCGATATTCATGATATAGATGTAAATCTTTAATGTGTGTCAAATTTATGCAGAGTCTTACATCAGAATGGTATATTAATAGCTTTTAAAGGAACCAGGAAATTATTTTTTCTTAGAATCACTTTTTGTGTATCTCTGTACTCTTCTTCCATGTATGAAGACTATTCGACATCTTTTTTGAGTTACGTGAACTGAACGGTGCACTTTTTCAAACATTAAAAATTGACCAAGCATTTCTAGACAAGTGAGGGTGCTTTTACTTTGAAGTAAATCAGGAAGACATGGTTCGGTAGGTTGCATGTTTTTATGTTCAAATTGTGAATCTCAATTTTCTATCTTGGAACATTTTTGTGAAAGAATTTTTTCTGGATTATTGCCATATACTTATACTGCAATAACTTGCCAAAGAAAATAAAATCTGCCATAGCAGTGATTTAAAAATCTAGAAATTTTCTGTGCGCAAATCCGTGCAACATTGACATTCAGTGCGTTAGATGACACCATAGTTCTGCTCATGAATATGCAAATCATTAGCATAAAACAAAAAGGGTTAATGGGTTAAAATTGCAAAGCAAAAATTTAAAATGGGGTTAATTGAAACCCAAAGATGCAATTTCGAGGGTTTTTAGTAAAAATTTATAAAAACAATATTTCTATTTCCTGGCTCCTTTAAAACTTGCTTTCCCTTTTTATTGCGGCAAACATTTTAAGTCGATACAGGGGGAGAACTTACGCCCATGTTTCAAGCAGACCCACTGAAAAAATTAATTAAAATATAGAACAGTATAAATCAAACAGGCTCAGGCACCTATAGTGTCTCGTGTTTGTATTGTTGAATTTCTGATTAATTTTCAAATTGCGTGATTTCATGTTGAATTCAGTGACTAGAGACAACTATTTTTGTCGTCTATATGGATGCTATGCCCAAAAGTTGTGGCTAGGCTGCTGAATGTAACACGTGGAGGGACTTCTGAAGCCGCTGTGAACGGCTGTAGCGTTTTTTACGCACTCTAGATGCGTGCGGCAATCAAAGCCACAGAGCAGCAAGGAAAAGATCTACGCGGCGATAGGGTGGAAAAAGTAGTTCGTTCGATTGTACCAAGTTTCATATGTTTCAGTGAATGTTTGAAAAAAACGGGACTTGGGTGTATGTTTTAGTCATTTTTACAAGAATTTGCATCATTTTCACATAGTTTCCACTTGATTGATCTTGAAAAATGTTTGGAAATAACGACCTGATTACTTTTGTCAGCCGGCTTTATTAATCCTCTTTTCCCGTGGCAGCCGAAAGTTGTGCAGGCATAGTAAAACTGCCCCTCAAAATCTCCAATATGGTGAGGCTCTAAGCAAACTCTGGATTAACACAGTATGAATTTACGAAAAAATAGGCTTTAAGAAATTGTTCCACTTAATTAAAATAGATATTTGTTTGTACAATCAGGTAAAACAGCACTTGGCTCAAATTACGTGGGGAGGGTTCACGTACAAACATGCCTTCGACGGCTTCGTGTCGCCGCCATATTGCAATTTCGTCTCGTATTAGACACCACGTGCTGTGCACTGTACCACGGTTCTAGCTTTCGTCAGTTGTGTGTTTTGTGTCAAATTTGTGTGCCTATCCTGACATTATGTATGAAGGTTATGATGTCAAAATTTTTCAGGAATAAAAGTGCAACTTAAAGACACAGCACAGTAGCCGTGATCATAATGATTGGTCATCATGGTTGTGTTGGTCATGTAGGCTCGCTACATCATGTACATGTAGCTAGCTACTTCCTGTGGTCATACTCATTACCATTAACACACCGTCAACACATAGCGGATGGTCAACACACCGTCAACACCTCCAAAAAACCTTAAAAATCAAAAGAAGGGTAGGCCTACTCGAACTCAAAGGTAAAGTACTATTTGGGAAAGAATATTTTGGCTTTAAACATCAACAGGTTAGACTCAGGAAAATTGCAATTTTAATTTGGCCAAATCGCCTCCTTCGAACCAGCTCAGAAATCAGCAGCCATGTTGCCTGTGGGGCAACTGTGACCATATTGATAACGCTAGATGGGTGGTGATATTATATGATAAAGAAACAATGCCTTTTCCTTTAAAGTTACAATATTTTTTATTTTTCTTAAGATTGAATAATTGTCCCTTTTCGTATCTTCACAATAACTCTGTTAAATAAAAAGCTCAATTGCAGAATACCCCGCCACCCTGCATGATCAACCTTAGCCAGGTACAGGTCAAAGAGTCACACCCTTCTCAAGGGACTTTCACCTTGTACCCACATAACCAGTCATTCCAGGGGTCGTTTCTTAGAGTGGCAGGGTATTCTGCAGTTGCTCCAAAGAAAATCTGTGATGTTGTTTCTGCTATATTGATTTATACTCTCTTGAAAAGTATTTTAATTTATAGCATGTCCACACCTAAATGGTACAGTCTAATCTCCATGAGGAGGCAAGATGACGGCGAACAGCAATGCTGCTCGAGATTTTTTTTGTGTGAAAAAACTCCATTTTGCAAATTGATTTGTGACCTCCAACTACTGGAAAGTCTCTTTCAGCCCAAGTATTACACTTGTATGCCTCTATTGTAGATTGAACTTGTATTTTTCGGGAAGTTGACGCTGTCTTGACATAATTATCGTGTGTTGACATTGTGTTAATGGTAATTAGTAAGACCCACTTCCTGAGCAGTAAGGCGTAGGCCTTAAGTCTGGGGCCGTCTTTTTGATGGCTCTGTATGCTTTGGCACTTTGAAAGTGCCCTACAATCGTACCAGAGATTGAGAAAAACCTCCGTTTGTGCTCTCTGGGCAAATCTTCCCCTAAAGACCCTAGACCTATAATGATAGCTAATGGAACTACCAGGCTCAATTGTCATGATTGTGTTTCATTTGTAGCATTTAACCTATATTTTTGGCAAAAAATGAGGTTTTTCTACCATCCTCGCCTCTCATCCCTTGACGATCCGCACACATCTGCATTCCCTGTGGCCGTACGTCACGTGACAAAAACGGGCGTAGTGTATTCGTGTTACAAACGTTTATGTTGCTTTGTGCCTATAATTCTGACTGCTCTCATTAAGATTATGTATAGAGACATCTGGGAAATCTGTGGTCAGGGAACCACACTAATTACATCGGCTCAACCATTTTAGAAGCGGGGGACTGGGCGCATGTATTGCTGTACACACATAAAAGTGTTTGAGCAATATGTACTTCAGGGAGTGAGAATATGTTGTGAAGAGTAGTTGTGAAGTTGTAATAAAGTTTCTGTTTTCTATACAATTGCGGGGATTTATTTATTGCATAAATGAAATGAAGTAATAGAGTTTACATTCCATTATAATTACACAAACATGCCTCACAAAATGATCGAGCCGATATGTGATAAGTGTGGTTCCATGACCACAGATTTACCCTCACCACAGACCACCTGCCCCTGTTCAGCGAGGTACACGGAATGCATCATGGAAAGTGGCATACACATTGTTCCTTGATTGCTCACGTTCAACCGGAACACCGCGCCGCGCCACCCAAATGCATGGCATGCATGGCATGCATGCATAAAGCAGGGCGTGCGTGCACTGTGTGTATGTGGGAATATTGTACACTCGGGCCGGCGGCCCGCTCCATTCACACTGCACGATGGCAAGCATAAAACGGCACAGGCGACACCCTCCGGCCTATCCAACGAGTTAACATAACAGCATATGCCCGAGCCAAGTATTTTAATGCTCCATGCAATAATGTTAGTCTAGAACAATTGCTCATCAACGTGTAGTTCCATGCTTTTCGTGCACATGGCACAATTGTATGGTCGGGGCAGTATTTTAACTAACACCGCAATGTAGTGTTTGCAGTTTAGTGCTACGCGCTACACGTGATCTGAACCGTACATATACACAACATCGGAACCGTTGATCGGAACTACCCCGATTAATTCTCAGGTACGCTTTGTGCAAAATCACTGGCCTGGCCAGTTTTTGTGGTACGCAAAATGCTGAGGAAAGAACAGCTGCAGTCAAAACAGGCCGAAGCCTTTCAAAACTCGGCTGCTGGTTCAGCACTTATCACTGACATGTTCAGGTATAATGCATATCTTACTTTTTCTTAGACCTGAACCATTTTCATGCTATATAAACAAAAACTGGGAAGTCTAGAGTGGCAAGGTGTGTGCTTTGTTTTGGTGGTCGATTGGCTGGGCTATGTGGCTGCGCTGGCTGCATTATGGCGCCAGCAGGCCAGACCGCTATCGATATATACATGATACGTGTAGGTGTACGGTGTACAACATATAGTACGCACGTGTACAGTACATGTACTGAACGTGTACATGGTTTTCTTCACGGCTCAGCCTCAGCAGCTCAAGTCTGATGACCGAGAGCCGGCGCAAATTTTAACTCTTAAAGTCAGACATGAGCCCTTATTCCTCCATGAGTCAGATAAGTTTCAAGAAGTTCGTGCAAATCGACATAATCAAACACATTTTATTGCCAACTTTGCAAATTCAGTGATTTTACAAGGACACAATAATGGCAGACATAGAAAAACTTTTGACCTTAACTTTGTCATGTTTTTCTTTGAATTAATTTGAATTTGAGCATTTATGCAGAACCGGAACCGGTTCCGTAAATGTGGCACAGTGGCACAGCTGGCAATGCGACACACGCACGTTCTTTATTATGGTTGTTTCGTCTTTGGGAATACAGACGTTTGATGTCCACATTACACATGAATGCTCCTCACGTCCTCATACCAAGCCATGAAACAGTCATCTTGGAGCTACTTGGCCATATCCTCCATGCCTGTAGCTAATAAAAGATGCCTTCTAGTTACTAAAAGTAGGTAGAGTAGATGTAGAATGGGATGGATATTGTTTTAAGGGAAATTTGGATGTTGAAAGGGGCAAAAGAGAGATAATTGGTTGAACTTGGAACTTAATAACTCACCAAGTATACCTGAGTTATTGTGCACAATGCGAGGCATTTTTGTGACACCTGTATCAGCTTACTGACCTCGTTGACCTGACATGACTGGTCTACTTCTTCCCATTATCAGGCCGTTGCTGCTGCACGCCCTCTCATTACGGTCTACACTGAGAAGAATGAAGCCAGTGGCACCAACGTCAAGCTGCCCGCAGTCTTCAAGGCGCCCATCCGCCCAGATATCGTCAACTTTGTGCACACCAACATGCGCAAGAACAGCCGCCAGCCCTATGCCGTCAGCAAGCTAGCAGGTACAGTTGTGTGCATTTGGTAGAATGGTAGCACCTGGTTGAACTGATTCTATTGTTTTGACCCAAATCTCTTTCAGTTACTCAAATCAGTTGAAAACTTTATCAGATAAGTGTTTTTAAAAATTAAACCCTCAAATTGAAAGTAACATTTCCCCAATACAAATTTACCACATTAAATGAAAGAAAATCCTTGATTGATAACATAAACGTAGATATGATCAACTTCTTAACTGCAAGTTTAATACTGAGAGCTTAATTGTTTAGGTACATTGAAACGTGTGTCATGTATTGACAGGTCACCAGACCAGTGCTGAATCCTGGGGAACTGGACGTGCTGTGGCCCGTATTCCACGTGTCCGCGGTGGTGGAACTCACAGATCTGGTCAGGCTGCATTCGGAAACGTATCCTTTGAGAATGCTCTCATGATGCATTTCTTCCCTTCCCCTATTCCCCTCTCCTGCATTGTGCTGAATGCTTTGGGAGTAACTTTTAACACTTCCTTGCTTGAGTTTGCCAGTCAGTAGGTGCCATGCCCTTCATACAGTCTACAAAGAGTAGGTTTCATCATCTTCCTTCAGCGCTAGCTCCTTAGGGTGTTTGCAGGATCCTATTGAAATTGGAACACTGAGGACTCTTAGGGAGGTTTTAGCTTCCACACTTTTGTTGAACATCAACCCTAACCATGCTGAAAGCAACAAGCTTTGATGAGAGTTAATGATTCAACACTTTCTATTTTGTCACTGCACTCTGGATCATAATACAGAGAAGGACTTTGCTTTAGCCATTATGTGTTTGCCTTATTCTACAGACTGACACTTCACTGTTATTTGGCTCTGTTAAATTCAGAAGTGTGATTGTTTAATCAGGGAACTTGTAGCCTTTCCATGAGGATCTCTGACTCTTCCAAAATCCTGGAGGAGCCCAGTGCCACAGTATTCACACAGAAGCTTTGCAGGGGCATCAAGCCCCTTGTAATGTTCACTGTGGCTGGGGCTGTACCTTGCTCAGTGCTTGCCAATGCCATTCAAACCTCTTGGTGGAGGGTGCCTGGTGAGATTGCAAGGCTCACGCACCCAGCCTCTGGGACTGGATCACCATCGTCCAGTTTGCCTTGACTCTTGTCACGCCTTCAGATGTGTCGCGGTGGCCGCATGTTTGCCCCCACCAAGACCTGGCGCAAGTGGCACAGCCGCACCAACGTCAACCAGAAGCGATATGCCATGTGCTCTGCCCTGGCTGCTACCGCCGTGCCAGCCCTGGTCATGTCAAAGGGTAAGTTAATGGAAAATGGCTCGAAATTTTGTGCAACATGCTTGCTTCAAGTACCAACAGTACAACCCCAAATTAAATTCACGAACACAGAAAATACAAACAGACATGAGATCAATTTCTGTGAATGAACTTGCAGAAATTTGGTTACGGCAGTGTTTGTTGCAGAGCTGCATTCGTGTATGATGTAATGCAATGTACAAAGCTTTTTGGCTAGAATGCGTATGCTGTACATAGACTGGTTACTGCATTTCCATCATGCCTTCTTTGGCAGTATTTTGGTGCAACGGGAACTAGCACAGCATTGCTTCAATTGCATTGCGCACGTGTTTTCACCACTGATTCGTAAACGCTCATTGTAAACGGGTTGTTAGCAATGGTTTTTCAGGCAACGGAGTCACAAAAACTTTCTTTGTAACGGGAATTTTGTACAGTCCGATTTCACTGTAACAGATTTTCCTCCCCAAGAAATGTGCACATTTTCGCTGGGACCACAGATATGTATTTGTTATAACCGGAATTTCGTTATTGGCGTAGTGTATAACAGTGCTTGCTTAGACCTTCTTAGAGCTTGTATTAACCATGTTCGACTGTATGTGGTCTTGTAGTAGTGATCAGGCATTCAGTTTGTGTTTGTTACTTGAAATATAAAACAGTTAATAATTGCATGCCAGAAAAGATGACTTGTTTTTCAGATGACTTTTTTTTTTCTTTTGGATTCCTTCACTCTTGATTGCATATTGTTTTTCAGGTCATCTCATTGATCGTATCCCCGAGGTCCCCCTTGTTGTAAGTGACGCCATTCAGGACTACAAGCGTACCAAGGAGGCTGTCCTTTTCCTGAAGAAGTTCAAGGCCTGGCCAGACATCAAGAAGGTTAAGCCAGGATCTCCTCTTATTTTGAAAGATTGGACACCACGAGGATAGCCAAAAGAGACAGAACTAAAAGAATTTTATGGAAGTCCGGCATTATCCGGTCCTGCCTGCTGTCTTCCCCTCCCTCACACTCTAAGTGCAGCAGTTGTCAGAGTGATTTGTTAAGCTTGTTAGATGGCGTAACTTTCAGAGTGGCCGATGGTAAACATATTTGGGATACATTTATTTGAAGACATTTTTAGATCAAATGTTTTATCCTCAAATTCTGTAGGTGTACAAATCCAAGCGTATCCGAGCTGGCAAGGGCAAAATGCGAAACCGGCGTCATGTCCAGCGCCTTGGTCCCCTCATCATCTTTGAGAAGGATAACGGCATCTCGCGGGCCTTCAGAAACATCCCAGGTGAGTCACAATACCTTCAGCAACGTTTATACGACAATTCTTGGTTTTCTTTTGTTCATTTATAGTGGAAGCAATCTTTAAAGGGATATGATGAGATAATACTTAGTCCGTGTTGCTGATGACATGTGATTGGCGTTTTAAGCTCTGATCCCTGTGCAGTGCATTGGAAAAAGCCACCGTGCATTGTTACCAATAGAATTGACTACGAATGTGTACATCAGCAGAAAATTATCAAGCTAAAGTCAGTTGCTGCCAGGTCTCAACATTTATTTTTGTAACAACTTGTCCATTGGGCAAGTAGCCCTGAAAATTTACTTGCAGGAGGTAAGATTTTACTTACCCAAACCCTGGTTTAGTTCCTTATTGCTTCCCGGGACAGTATTCCTTCCTTCAACNTGAGTTATTCCCCGGTTCTTCTCAGAACCACACATACTCAAAGAAGAGATAAATACATGGTGTTACCGCTATCTTTACTATAGATCTAAATCACCATTGATGAAATTGTATGCCAATATGACATGAATATACATCACCCTCAGCTATTGCATGTATGCAGGGAGTGCGCAGCACTCTGCATCATTTGTACAAGTTTGGGTAGGCCTAATGGCTATTTCTCAACCACTCGACGATTTTGCCTGGTGTCATATATTCGAAAAGTACACACACAAGTACCACGAACACAGAAAATACAGACATAAATTAAGAGACCAAGTTCTGTGAATTAACTTGCAGAAAACCTCTTGCAACATAACATTGATGTCTTTCGGGCCTGCAGCCTTTTGCATTTGCGATGTGTACGGCCGATGAAGAGTGTTGATGTACAGTACTTCAGTACATGTACAGTACAGACTGGTACCGGTTGCTACATTTCCATCATGCATTCTTTTGCATGGATGCGGCGCGGCGGGAACCAGAGCAGGTTCTTTTAATACACAGAGCTTCGCGCACGTGTTTTCACCACTGTGACAGCGAAACGAGAATGTTGACGATACGCAAAGAATTATGGGGCAATTTCATATCTGTGGTGCAAGCTCAAGTAATGTACATATATGCATGGGGCTGGGTGGCACTGGCCAGTGATGAGCGATCAGTTCTGAGGAACACGTAATTCTAACACAAAACTAATAAGAAATCAGACGCCATAAATCCCATATCTTGTGTTGATATTATTTTTAGAGCAGTTATTGATGTGTCGGCTGGGCAATTTGTCCAAGCATCTTTGATTTTGTTTGGACAAGCACAATAAGTGCTCGGAAAATGTCTGATGTTCGACCGTAATTTCACGCTCTGTAATCAAGTCACAGCCACATGTAAAACAGTCTTCGAGCTTCCGGCCGTCAAAGCTCTGCTGCGCCGTGCGAGCAATAACCAATGAAGTTTGATACCCAGACATGAGGGTATTTTATAGTTTATTTGTGTACGCATTTTTCGTTCTGTGGAAAGGTGCCCTGCTTAATACACGCAAGTTTTGTTTGTACATACTTGTACATAATGGTGCAAAAAATAATTTTACGCCACATACATGACATGGCTGCATACTTTCACCACTTTTTGTAATTTTTTTAAGAGGAAAAAAAATCGAAGGTGAATTTGCTAAGTGTTATTCTTGGCCACGGAAAAAAAATTAGGAAAAAGTGCCTGTCCATCGGGCAATTTGGCCTTGATTTTTACTTGACCGAAAGAAGAAATTACTTGTCCTGGGCAATCAGACAACCGTTAGTATCGAGGCCTGGTTGCTGCTATATCTTGTACAACTTACAGGTTGGAAGCAGTATCCAAAAGCATTTGATGATGGTAGTACAGGCATCCTGGCATGCTTGTCAAGCATCATCCTTCGACCCTTACTAGCCCACATCTTTTGTTATCCACCAGAGGGATTTTAGATGATTTTAGAGAATGCAGAAAGCCAAAGCCTAACCAGTAATACTTAGTGGTGTTGGTTTCCTGCCCAATGGAGGTTAGAGGATTATCTCTAACCCTCAAGGCCTTTTTGCTAGGCACCCTCCTCAATCCTTCAAAATCCTCCAATCATCCATGTAAAAAAATAATATTCTGCCTCACTGTCTCAATCCTCCATAATCATCTATTTCTTGAGTGGGATCCTATGAAGGGTGTTCACTGCCTCACTCCTTCGAAATCCTCCAGCAATTCCTGTGATATTTAGGCAGTGCAAGTGGTATCCTTGAGCAGTATGGAGAATTTCACATATACTGTAGGCACAAATTTATGCATGGCTGAGCATAAATAAAAAAAGGTCCAACCCACAACTTTGACACAGTGCATCCTTTGCAATCAGCCACACTTTTCTGTCTGTCTTCCTCAACCCTCCAAAATCACCCAGGGGATTTTGGAGGCTTGAGGAGAGTTTAAGGTTAAGGAATATTGCTTGGGAAAAAATGCCTTTGGAAGTGTGATAGGACTTATTTCATACTTGCCAAATCAGAAGGCTCAACGGGGTGAACATTAAGTATTATGCGTTGTAAACCTTTTTTTCAGGAATCAAGCTGATGAATGTCACCAAGATGAACCTGCTCAGGCTTGCCCCTGGCGGTCATGTCGGCCGATTCTGTATCTGGACTGAGAGCGCCTTCCGCAGACTGGATTCTCTCTATGGCACATGGAAGAAACCCTCAGCAGAAAAGAAGAATTACAAGTAAGTCAGAAGTACCTTTGTCTCTGGCTCTGGAGAGAGATGAGGCCCTGCACAGGAACCTAGGCTAGTTATGGTCACCTAAAACGTTACGTTTACTTTACTGGAAATCAGTTTTTGTCAAAGTTGAGGCTTGTGTAAAGGGCTTATTTTGATAGTACACAGAATCAGTTTCTCTCTGGACATTCAAAAATTGTGCCATGTACTTCGCATAACAAAGAAAAGATGGAGATGTGTATACAAAGCAATCTGTAGCATTTGTATAACCAGAATGGCTGTTACTTGCGATTAACTCGGGTGATGCATTGCCATGTGTTTGAACACTAGAGTATACCAAAGGACAGTGTTGTGGTCCAGACCATCACAAGACCAGACACAACTAACAGGGTGAACAATGACAAAGGAATGCTTTTGTTCCAGTGCATTTGAATAGCTTGAGGCTTGAATTCAGACTGGAGGTCTTGTGTTGATCTTGTGTGGGCTTGTGAAGGTCGTAAGTGGGCTTGACTACAACACTGAGGGAGTAGCAGTTATTCGTTACTGGTGTCTTAGAGGCTGTTTTTTGTTATTTTGATATCGTTACAATGAATGCACAAGAAGTTTACTCGAGAGGAAGAAAGAAATACCTTCTTACGTGATGTCACACACATAAGGTCTGTCCTTCAGAAGTTGTTGATGCGTTTGGAGGTCTTAATCAGGTATTAAAAGTGCCGTAATAGTCTAGTTAGCAATCCTGAAAGAGCGACCAGATGTTTTTGAGTCAGTGAGTCAAAGGTGCATTTTAAAGTTAAAAGACAGCATCGCCTCAGCCTTCTTTTGTGTACATAGAGTCAAGCTTTTTGTTCATAGAAATGATGAATCCAGAAATAGCAGGGCTTTTGGCCTCATTTCTCTTACAGCCTGCCGATGCCCATGATGATGAACTCTGACCTCAACCGTCTGCTGAAGAGTCAGGAAATCCGGAGAGCACTGAGACCCAAGAGGTAAGTACAATGTTGTTTCTGTGGTGATGGATAGTGTATCAGAGAGACGTGTTTCCATGGTAATGGATAGAAGACATTAGTGTTGATTGATATTGCCATACAGAGATATGATGAATTCTGTTTCTCTTGGTTCGTGTTTCTGAGTCATCACTGATGTTTCAAGTGTTCTGATCTCTGTTGAGCTTTTTTTGAGTGAAAGAATTGTGACAGCCAAAATTAAAAGGTTACTACATCACCCAAAAGGTGGGCGAAATTTCAGTTAAATGAGCACATGTTCATGAGTCAGGAAGTGTGAGGTTATTTACCACCAACACTGGGCACGTTGGCAATACTTCGCCAGGCTCAAATCAGACAGCTTCGTAACCACAGCTTCCATTTTCCTGAACCATTACGCGTTCCTCATGTCGCCAGGTTGGATGCCAACCAGCGCAAGGTGCTGAAGAAGAACCCACTGAGGAACGTCCGCGCCATGTTCAAGCTGAACCCCTACTCCAAGACCCAGAAGCGTCAGGCCAAGCTGGCTGAGGAGCGGGCCAGAGCACGGAGGCAGGCCCACTACGACAAGAAACGTGGGGTAAGTGCCACTCACTCTGGACAGGTCTTATTGACAGCCATTTTCTTTGCCATGTGTACCACCAAACAGAGATTTGATTCGGATTCTGTCGGCTATTTTATGATTGTCACTTTGGCAGACCTCATAAACCTCATATTCAGACAGTCAAATTGTACAGAAACATTTTCTAATTTAGATCGTAACGGGCCCTTTCTAGTCCTTCACAAAATACAGAATAAACTAACTCGAGAGCAACTCACTGCAGCTTTGAAGATGCCAGACCACTGCTGCATCCTGTTGAGGAAAACTGTAAGCTCTGGATAGCAAGTTGTTGGCTTGACCAAGTCTTCAGTCTGTTATGGTCTATCACTAGTTCACTAATAAGTCTCTCAAGTAACAGGAGATAAGGAGTGTCTTCGGGGTGCTTTCGTTTGATTAGCTTGTGTTGTGACTGGAGCCAGGATAACTTGGCATTCAGACATTTGACAGTGTACCCCAGTAGTGCCAAGTAATGTATTCTGATGGCAGCTCTTTGGTCAAGTGGATCAGGTTACAAACTCCCAGAAAGCATGCAGGTCTTTGTTTGCAGTGAGCGAAAGGACAGACACCAATCCCGAGTGATAACTTCACAGAACTGATTGACACCCCCACTCACCTTTCCTCCTCTTGGCAGATTACACCTGCTGACCCCCCAGCTGAGAAGGCTTCTGAGGCACCGAAGGCTTCTGGGAAAGCCAAAAAACAGCCCAAGGGAAAGTAGACAAGACCCGATGCCGTTACGGTGCAGCACCGCTGCTTATAACAGGACGACAAATTTCACATTAACCTGTCTCTGTCCTTCATTCTTAAATCTATAGCCAGTTGTGGACAGAAATTTAAAGGAACAGATTGGTTTGCCTTTAGTAAGCTTAATACTACAATGCACACTTTTCACGACAAACTTCGTTTTTGAAACCTTGCAAACAGTTGTAAAATGTTGCAGCTGCAAACGTTCGGATAAGATTGTCATTACACATCTTTCCCATCACGTTTTCTTTTGAAAAAAAAAGCTTGGTAAAGGCTTGGTTTTTGGAGCTGAAAGTACATGTATCAGGTTTTAGTTTGGTTGTTCAGTGGTTGTGTCGCAAGGCTGCCCGGGTTAGAAGTGGTAAAAAAAAGTGACAAACACAAAATATTTGAAAAAGAAGTCACACCCAATAAAGCGACTGAAGCTTCTGACTTCAGTAAAAAATAAAGTTGTAAAAGTATTTGAGTTTTTTATTCGGAGGTGTGATATACATGTTTATCACATATCGAGGTCGACTTGTCTCACCTTTTGACGCACAGCCGGTCGAGTTGTGTCAACTTTACCGTTTGCCAAGTCGTCCGTTAAGACAACTCTACTTTGACAGAGACAACTCGACCGTGTGAGATGTCTTCACATTTGACTTTCTTCCCACGTTCTTATGTCAGAATGCTCATTTCTTTTCTATATCTCCGTGATACAAAGAAAACGAAGCAAAGTAGGCATAAAGACGTGTCAGTTGAACAATATGGGGCTTGGCTGAGCAAAAGCACCCCGTTGTTCACGTAACAACTTCTTTCTTTGGTACACGTTTATACATTCACCAGCAGAGGCAGATAACATACCCAGGGATCTAGAAGTTAAAAGAACATCTTATGTACTGGATTGAAGGTAAGCATCACGACCTTTGACACCTCTATCTGCCGTGTCGGGAAATTAAGGTAAGGGGAGATGTGAGCATTGTAGGCTGCTGAGGCTCCGCCCGATCTGAGACTATGGAGTCCATAGAGCGTATTGTCGAGTACAGAACGTGTAAGGGCTTGTAAAACAACTTCCCTCGTGCTTGGGCTGTGAGAGGTTTCAACAAAGCCCTTTTTACAAGATGCGAGCCCGCGAATAATTGTGAGTGAATTTTATCACCCAAAGCATTCAAATAACGCCCCGGCGAGAACGACTGGACAATTCGGCTGAAAGGATCTTGCTATGAATACAATGTTTTCTCTTGACGAATTAGGTCGTTTTCGGATTTATACAGAAATACCTCCAATCAGACTTAAAACTACATTCGCAACGCCTGATACGACTAGTGCATAAGTACTAATAAGTACTAATGACATAAGTACTATGTCATCAAATTTTCAAAAAGCGGCATAAGTTACGGAACAAACAATGTTCGCAGATCAGAGAGGGTTGCCGTGGGCTGGCCTTGGGAATCAAATAATTTTTGAAGAATGTCCGGAGTAATAGGCTCTTTCCGAACGATTGGCTTTGAGTGAATCCTTAAGTGTGTCCTTGGGCGGCGAACTTGAACAGGAGATTAACAGATGGGGAAGGTAGACCAGCCAAACTGGGGCCCATGTTACGGAAGCAGACAGCATATCAGTGGCATGGCCTCCGATGACTTAGGTCTTAATAATAATAATAAAGTATAATAATAATCATGCACATTTATAGAACGCCAGTATCCGCCACGAACGGCGCTAATAAGCAAAACATCCAATAATGATAAGTTGAGGAATATTAACCAAACGCCCGTCTATGCAAATATGATTATAATCAGTCCTTGAATGTGTGGAGTGATCTCGATAGTCTCACAGATTCCGGTAAAGATCCAAAGTTTTGGTGCTGCAATCTGAAAGCTTCTCTCCCCCCAACGATAATGAGCCACAGTTTCCTTGAGAAGATTGCTTTTGGATGACCGCAAACCCCAATGACCTGGAGCATAGAATTGGACAAGATCACCTATACAAGGTGAAGCATCACCCTGTAGGATCTTAAAGATGATGAGACACTATTTGTACTGGACTCGTTGTATCAGAGGCCTGTGCAGGTCGGCTAACACGGGTGTATATACTAGGTGAGATCGGTGGGATCCGTAGGGAAGGGTTATACTCCTGTCTTTGATCTGGCTCAACTCTCCTGTTTCTTCTGTCATGTTGCTAGGTATTTCACACTTGTGGAGGGCGCCTTGGCCGAGAGTAGGAGGGAGGGTGTAGGTTCTCTGTGGCGCTACGGAGGGAGTCGCCGGTAATACCCCGGAACGACCGTTTCCAAAATTTCTGTGGACTAAAAGCAACAAAGAGCGAACAAAACTTTTCTCGTTTCATCTAAACTGGCAAACACTTGGTGAAGACCACAGCAAGTCACTTGGCATCAGTACAACGTCTCAACACTGGCACTCAGAGGCTATGAAAAACCGTTTATCAAAGGAGGAAACGTGGGTGCGTCCAAGCATACCGAGTGAGGGCGCACTCCCTTTCGCCTTGCTGAAGGAAACGAAAACGGGTGGGTGGGCATCATATCATAGTTAATGGGACGGTGAGGTGTGTTTACTCAACCGAGAGTGTACACCAGGCACGAAATGCGGGGTCAGAGAGGGCCCCCCCTAAAAGTCCAATCCTTTACACGCTCCAGCCTAATGTTACTTAACAACCCCCCCTATGGCTGAAAAGTATTCCTGAGATACCAGTATAACAATGACCGACAAAAAGGCCGGGGGGGTCTCTCGATCTGTTCCATAATTTGCATCATTTGTGAGAGTGAAGCGATGAGTATGCGTAATCAACAACTCTTAAATAACGAAGCAAAGAACAGCCTAAAGAATGTTATTAAATAAGCGCTCGAAAGGCGCCTCCAATGTGCGATCCCGAAAAGAAATTACACATACGTGACCAGGTCAGAGATACGTTGATGCAAACTATGGGACAGGGAGACCCCCCCCGCCTTCGTGCTGGTTATGTTATACTGGTATCTCAGGAATTCTTTTCAGACATCTGGGGGATGGGTTAAGTAACAATAGGCTGGAGCGTGTATAGGGATTGGACCTGGTGGGGGGGGGGTACCCACCTCTGTCCCACTTCGGTGTCTGGTATACAGCGCGGTTGCAAGGTATTAAATTAACCCCATTCGAAGCGTTCAGCATGCATCGTGTGCGTCGCGTGACGTTGCAACTCGACTCGGACATAACGCGGGGTGTCTTATAGCATTCACAGGCTTGACGGGCGGCACGGCATCCTTCCCCACACTCCTATCTCTGGCGCTGCCCCTTTGGCTCAAGGCCCCTGCGATGCTTTATTTTTTTATTTTATTTCAACCATCTTTATTGAGGGTAACCCATCCACCAGGAGCTGACCATTTGGGCCCTCATTGAATGAGAAAAGAATACATCAAAATCGTAAAATAAACATTACCACAAATATACAAATATATCAGAGTCATCCACAGAAAAGGTTGCTTATTCTTGAAAAATAGCTGAAAAATTACATTTAAAATCCAGTAAGAAACCAAACAGTGAAAAATAAGAAGTTTTAAAAATGGGAAAATAGACATCAATATACATAGGAAAAAACGTAAAAGAAACGTTGAGAGAACTTTGAGGCCCCTTACCTCCCCAAGAATTAATATTAGCCATCCGAAATTCTAGTACTTGTTGTCATAGCATTATCACTACTTTATCATTGCTTTGCTTTGTTCCTGCCGTCTACCCTCAGCCATGAAAGAACGCGCAGGCACCATTGTCATTAAAACTAAGTGCCCTTGTAAAAAACGAGCAACGATGTAATGTTATAACATAATACAGGCAAAATGCAATTTTCTCCTAATTTCCTCGCAGCATGTAAATGCAGGCGCCGTTCTAATGTTACACAAAGGGAAGGAGACCGTCATACAGTGCCTCATTAAAGTCGCGGGATATAACAGGTGATGGTTTCCATTGGGTGTGTTCAGGAACTGCCTGGGACAGCCAGGCATTGATGGAGTACACGTACTTCAGAAGGGCAGACACCTTATTATTAAGCCGGCAGTCGGGCAAGCTTTTCCCAAAGTTGTTGGCTATATTTACGAACAACCGGAACAGGGCATGTCACGCAAGGTGGCGAATAATTATACCCGGTCTTCTGCAATCTGTCTTCTCTTTACTCTTATTCCAATTCAAAACAACTTTATAAAGATTTCAACAAGTGCGTTCAACCTCCGGTATCAACAGAGGGCGCATGTAATTTTCCCGTCGCGAACTCGCTGGTCAATTGCTTTTTAACAATGCGCACGAGCAATACAGCCACAATCAACGGCCATGGTTGAAATATTTTGTGTCCCATAGTCAATCGTATTTTGCCGTTGGCTGTATATACCCCTTGCGGCGTAGGCCTATGATGCATGGTCGACGACAGCCATAGTGTTTATTTTCATGTAAAAATGGTTACCTGTGTACCGATAAATTATACAGCCTATTGGTAACCAGCGATGTGACCACTGCACCCCGGGGCCTGGTTCCAAATGGTAACATGGGGGACCCCCCGGCTTCTGCGGCCGGTCCAGCCCACTCATGTTTGGGCAGTGTCGGTCGAACCATAGTTCGTCGCTGGTGCTTATACCCTTCACCGTCGATGCCGTTTCTCCGCAAAGGCCTCCTAATACAACCAGGCCTATTTAGCGCGAAAGATTCAGGTTTCGTGGAAGACATGTACGGTTGAGTTGATCGAGAGCAGCTTAAGTTACTTAATGAGTATAGGCCTATGCAAATCGAAAAGACAGCCGTCGCAAACTTGTCCGCTCAGTTTCCCTTAGGATTCCTTTAAGATTCCATTATTTCTATATACTTTTAATCTGAGGCACTCGCGCTGGTTTTGCCGTTCTTCTGACAAGGAAGTTTTACGCCCAAATTAGCGTAGTATTGAGTTTGGGTGGCTGAAGTTTACGACCGATAGATTATGCCATTATTATGACTTCCGAAGCCTTTTCGATTCATTCATCATCCTTAATACTGCTCCTTTTACTGAACGTATTGTGGCTTAGTTTTACGTCACAACAAATTGTGAATGACGCGTGTAATGAAGTGAAATCTTCACTGGAGCCATCCCCATACACGCAATTGATTTTAAATGCTCTTTTTTCCGTCCTGTTCTGCTTCCGTTAAAAGTCAATTAGTGATGAATAACGTCATTTCACTGAGGAAGGGAGTGAAGCAGTTCTTTGCGTCGCAAATTACTAAGCAAGAAAGCTGACTAAGGTCAGCCTTTCTTAATTCCTGTCTTATGATGTTTTGCTTAAAAACACCCTGCGTTATTCGTTTGTATATTTTTATTTTCACTTTTTCCCTGAAAGAAAAATTTTGAGATCGCGCTAGGGGAACTCACAGAACTGTAGTTTGGGTTCGTGTTTCCCCTTACGCTCTCGTCAGAAATCATGTCCCCGGGAATTTATATATATCATGTGCCATGTATAGGCAC